TTTTTTTAAAAATATATTCAGTACTTAACAAAATATATAATTGTATATTTTTTAATTTAATTTATTAATTATTAAAGCTTGGGACTTAGTTTGGGACATTTTGGGACACTGGGACATTGGGACATTGGGACACAGCAAAAAAGCCTGGGACACTGTCCGAACCCATCACTGCTCTAAAGTGTATAAATAAGTTACCCAGACAATTCAGCCAATCATACGAATATCTTACTATGAGTCTGTATCATTGTATTTACTAATCAATAACCAATTTGTTAAAAATAATAATGCAATCACGCGTGCGGACAGACAAAAAATTTCCAAATTACGTTATTGACATATTTATTTATGATAATTATTTTGATGCATCAAAAAAGAATTTTTCATGGTCAAAATGCATCAAAACGCCATCTTTGTATAACATAATGCGTAGAAATTAAGTGTCCGGAGCGTAGCAACGGACAAGTATAGTAAGAAATAAAAAATTCACTGGAACTGGACTTGGTTTGCTCTCCAAACTGAGGCGATTCTAACGGTGGTAAAATCATCCGTTCGCAATAGCTCTTCGAAATTTTAAAACGTTTGTTTATATTTTTTATATTACTTGCAAGCTATGTAAACAAATGTAAACAAACGTTTTAAAATTTTGAGGAGCCATTGCGAATGATCTTTTGGGTCGTTATTGATGATTTTACCAAATTAGAATTGTCTCAATATGGAGAACAACTTTTGTTGGAGTATAAAGAAAGGTTTACTTAGTACCAAATCCAGTTCTGGTGCACTTTTTACGTTTTTATTTTTTATAAGGGCATGCGCGTTAATTCGGGAAGCTGCATATGCTATTTTTGAGGGCCCCGATTTTCAAAATAACGCCCACGGGCGTTATTTCGCGCTTATACGGTAAGAATCGGTATGTTGGTTTAAAATGTTTTAGCTCGATCGAAAAATGCCGGAGAGCGATTTTCCTAGAAAAGATCCCATACAACTATATCAATATTAACCTTAACCCTGACCTTAACTTAATCCCGAAGGCGGTAAAAGTAGGATACAATATTATGAATTTAATATGGCCTAGATTGTATAAAATAGCACAAATAGAAAGCTTGAGCTATGGGAATTTATTTTACGTCATAAATGCTACAATGCGTAGCTTTTGTTTGATTATGTTTATCTCTTTGCATATAAATTATTTAAATTTCTGAAAATGGCATTCTTATACTTAATTTGCACGCATCGCTTATACAATACAAATCTGTTTCACCTTCTTATATAACCTTCGCAATGTTTCCCTCAATTCATCCAATTTACGATGGCTCTTGACGTTGATAAAATTCTTAGTTTCCTTTTCCAACTACTTGTTGGCATACAATTAATAACTGTAGCTGTTCTATATGTTAAAGTACTTCCATTCCCTGACCCTCCCCCACAAAAAATATCCAATCTTACCGGTTTACCAACATGGATTGCTGATTCTCCTCATTTTACTGCTATAAACGAAAGTGTTGGTGTGGTTGAATATGTTGCTGCCTTCATCACTGGTGTTCTTGCGACTATTTGTGTTTACATTAAAGTCCGTAAGAAACCTCCTACTCAAACGCCTGTCGATGAACAACCTATAGGCAACCGGCCAGTTGCCGAAGAAATCATTTGGACAAAATTACTTTTCAATACTATCGTCACTGGTTACATAATTGTCACTTTTATAGCTTTGGTTGCTGGTGCTGTATTTGAAATAGGAAAACTATGGTCTGCTTTTGGAATCTATCATAATGTTTTAGAACTTTGTCTTGCCGCTGCCTTATTACAGAGAGAGAAAGGAACATTTAACTATATCGTTGGCCTTATAATCATAGTAGTATATTCAATTTCTGTTGTTGCAATCACCAGTCAGTTAGAATGGTATTGGGATGTTACTTTCTTCAAATTTCAAGGCAAGATTATTTACTTTG